AGTGCTTGCTTGAGCAAAGACTGTAGCAAGTGGCCCAGTGCTGTTCGGATCCCGACACCAAATGTGGCAAGGCTGTCCCTGTAATTGCAGCAGGATTGTCACTCTGAAGCCACTTTGTTAACATAGGAGGATTAGCTCATCAGCAGGTGGTATCACTGGTAATGGAGTCTGGGATGCCCAGCTGATGTGCTGTAGAAACAGTAAGGAGACCCTACGACAGAAATTAGTCCTCATTCCCAGCAGTAGGAGCAGGAATAAACAAGTGAATTGCCTTGGAGGAGCCATAAGTGGGCAGGGCAATACCACAGCCACAGATTGCACTGCACAACCAGGTAACAGGTACAGAGCACACACAGCCTGCTGTGCATCCCCACAGCACAACAATAGCAGTGCTCAGTGGATGTGTATTGGGAGAACAGGCAATGAAAATAACCCACTACACCCCAGCTGATAGGGGGGTTCTGCTTCTAAAAATAAGTTATCACGTGTGCCTGAATGAAGCCTACCTAGACACATCCTTCTAATAAATAGATAAACCATTATGCACCTCTCTCAGAAAGCCACTCTCTCAGTCCCTTTCATACATAATAAAGATACTTATCAGCATAGCTCAGAAAAAAGACATTGGTTTAAATATAGCATCCTGAAATCCTACTCATAGAAACATCCATTTACCAGCTACTTAATGGCAGCTTCTTTTCTAATCTGATGTTTGGTTTCATATTGTCTAGGTCAATTCTTGGTTTCATTAAGCAGCCCTGTGTAAGTTAGGATTTTTGGCCCATAATATTCTAAGCTGTATTCAGGCCACCAGTGGACATCAGTGTTTAAGCTCTGTGCCAGCTCTGATGGCTGTTGTGTACTGGTCAGCCTGCTGGGTACAGCCTGCTGGGTACGTGGCAAATGCCCACTTTGGTGTTAGGCCAAGTCTGGCCTGGACCTGAATGTTTAAAGCTTCAACACTCATAATAAAGCAATATAGCAGCATATCAATTACTGGGAAATTAGCTGCAGAATTGCTGCTGGATGCAAATGGACATAGCATTGCCATTTATTTTCCTACTGAGAAAGACTTAATTTTGTTTTTGAAAGTGACCAAGATATTGGCATAGCGCTTTGTGTTTTTCAAATTGTCTCTATTTGAAAAATGAACTATCCCTCTAGGTAAATTAAATGAACCTTTTTCTTTGTTCTTTCAATCCTTCTGCTGGAAGCCTGGTGCTGTTCAGCTGGAACTGTGTGTAAGCCAGAGATAGACAGGTTGCTCCTTTGAGCATTGATTTCCCAAGAAGCATATAGACAAAAAAACCCCTAGCAGGAATAAAACAATACAATTCAGCCTATCTGCATTGTCAGAAAAAATGCCAGAATTTACTGTGCACATGAAGGAACATGACTTGGTCAGACCATGTGAGGATGCACTCAGTATCACAATTTCAGGAATAAGACAAGAGAAGGGGATAAGTGAACTTGCAGAAAGGATAGCAGCAGGGAGACCCAAACCCTAGAGATGACCCCCACATCTGGTATCATGCCCTTAGAAAGTTTCTGCCTCCATTTAGACCCACTCATCCTACTTGCAGCACCAATGTCATTGAACATTGTTGTGTTTCTGAGTATCTCGTTCCTATTAGACTTCTTTGAAAATACTGTGCAGTGTTTCTCCAACACAACCCTTCCTCCTGGCTTTATCTGTCTCAGTGAGAAAGAGTGCAAAGCACACATGGTACATGCAGCTTCCTCCCAGCCCAGAACCAGAACTGCTCAGTGGACTCACCTTCACACACTGGTCCTCAGTCCTTGAACAGAAGAGCTGCTGCCATCACTTCTGCTCTGGAGACACTCACCTTGAGGTTCTGCTTCCATGAGGTTTTATATTCTGTCTCTTTGGTAATGTTTTCTACCTACAAATACATTTTCTGCTTGTTCCCATTGGCATCTTGTTTATCTATGAGTGTGAACACACGCCTGTGCAAGCATTCGTGCTTTTTCCATATATTTATATATGTGACTGTATGTTTGTATTTCACTTGTAATTGTTTCCTTCTGGTTGCACCGAAAAGCTGTAAATATTCCAATTTCTTCTGACACATACAAGCAGTTATGATTACAACCGTGCAAGCCTGGTGATAACAGCTGACACATCCACTTCTGATCACAACTTCTGTGGGCAGCCTGCCTCTCAGTCTGTATTTGGTAAGGAAAAATTAGAGTTCTTCACAAAAGATAAAACTGTGTCAGCTTGCACTCACCTAGGGATACGCTGAGCTCTGAGACAGGTGAGCTTAAGGCTAGGATTGAAGTTGCACAGTGTTAAGCTGAATGTTACAAACACATTTCTAGGTGTATTAGGATCAGGGAGTTATATGAATCTTGAAATAAGTTCCAGAATACTACCTATATAGTAGAATGATATAAATAAAGTGAAGGTATATTGAAGTGGCATAAAAAGTATATACTTACATCGAAAAGATTTCTTGTGTAATCATCCTCTATCTCCATATAAACAGATACTTGTAGCACATAATCCTGAAATGGTGCAAATGTGAGGAGCATCAAAGACCTCAGACTGTTTTGAAGTCCAGCTGTATCAATATTACAGTTACCAAAAGCAACATTGTGATTAGAGACAGGTCATTTGTGTACTATATATGAATGTACTGCAGTGTACATGAATCCAACCCCTTTTGTTTAAAAAAAAAAAAAAAAGCTAAAAAAAAAGAATCTAAAAAAAAAAGGAGAACTCAGAAGCTGATATTGGAAATTTGACACCTGAACTGGACTGAGAGGATGTACTGTGACAGTGAAACTTCAGTGCTGAAGGAATGGATGGTTAGATTAAAAGAACAGATAACACAGACAATGGAGATTTCAAAGCCAAGGATTTCTCTAACATTAAAAGGATTTCCCCTTGCACAGAGAGTTGCACTGCCAGGACTGCAGAAGGGAGGCTGTTCCCTACCTACTCTTGCATTTCAACAGTGCTTAATTTAGCTTCAGCCACTGGACCTGAAACTGTCTCAGGCACTTGAGAGGTTCTGTAAGATAAAACAGATTTTCTTATCTCTTTGCTTTAGTGTTCATTGTGTAAAATCAGGAAAATACCTGATTGAAATCATGCTTTGCTGACAGAGAATAATCACATTTTGTGAAGTTCTCTGCACTTACTGCCCAACACAACATCAAAATGCATGACAGGTGGTTCCTCCATCAGCAATGAAATGCACACCTTGGCTGCAGGTGTCAAGGGCCTGAGGTCAGGATAAAGCACTCCAGAGGGGCCCAATTATTATAGAAAGATCTTGGACAGCTAGTTCAGGGCTGTACCAACAGGAGGACTGAGATGGCAGTAGGTCTGTCTCACCCCGAGGTGTTTGTCTTGTGGCATCTGAAAGCATATATTGAAGCAACAGAAATCTCTGTCCATGTACAGAGATGTGGATACAGAAGCCAGCAAGGAATGGTTCAGGCAGGAGTAGCAAATGAACAGAGCCAGCAAGGTGTCACGAGCTGGTTTTGCCCACAGAGCTCCTATATTTTAAAATCACTTGCCCTCAAAGCTTATGGGGAAATGGAGCCCCAGTTTCTAGAACTGCTCGCTGGGCTCAAGCTCCTGAGTTTAGTTCCAGCAGACACATCACAAGTCTGTCCTTCCTGCAGGACCTCAAGTCATGCCAAAAGCTTCCCTGTGGCATGCATCAAACCTCCTGGATGAGCAACAGCCTGTCCAGGCCCAGACAGAGCCATTATGATTTATTGGGTCGGTACAGCATGGGAGTTCTTTGCGTTCCTGTCCCAGTCCACAGCCACTAATTGCACTCCAGCTCCAGGGGCCCCACAGACTGAATGCAATTCCAGGGAACTATTAGAGTTCTTTCTTGGAAGGGACCATTAAGACTGCAGAGCAAGCATGCAGGTGCCACTTGTACAAACTGTGTCACAAACAGCGCAGAGAGACTTACAGCCTCTGTAGCAAAAGCAGCATGTGAGGAAGCACACAGTGAACAGCTCTTCTGAAATCTTTCCAGACCTGTTGGTTTCTGTGCAGTGCTTGAGTTAGGGTTTAAAAGTAATAGAGTACATGGAAAAGTCCCACTGAAAGACTTTTTGGCAAAGTGAGTTGGTTTGAATGGAATGGAGCTGAGTAATCAACCCTGTTCTACCACTGTGCTGTTCAGAGCCATGTACTCCATCTCCACAGAATTACAACAAATAGCTACCACCCCTTCGGGATTCAATATTCAAACACAAATAAATCATATGAGATGAATTTTTTTTTAGCTGTATCAGAAAGCACTGGCACTGCTTAATCTTTTGCTGATTGAATTTAGTGTTTAGCTTTTAAAATGGGGGCAGGCTCAAGTTCTTAAATTCCAGGAACATAAACAGCAGGGAAGTGCTTGCAGCAGCTTTGCTGACTGCATGGGTTGGGGTTTGCTGTGATGGAGGAAAAAAACCACCCAAGTACTGGGTAAAATTGTAGCTGCATCATCAGAGCTCTTCAGACTTTCTGTAAGTTCATTTTTATAAGTATGATAACAGGTTTATAGTACGTTTATAAACACTTGTGACTAATTTTCACATGCTGCCTTGAGACATACTGGGCCACATTTGAAGAGGCATGAAGGAGGTTAATATGGAAGAGCTGCACAACAGCTGGTTGTTTCATATAAGATGCTGAAGGTGATGTTTCTTGCATAACAAATTGCCTGTAAGAAACTGAGATGAGGCCCTGAGATTGTTTTTGAGGCTCTATATGGAAAAGGGTTAAAATCATGCAGTGTTAGCTTTGTCATGTTGGACGTATTTTTTGTGCTCTCTCTGCATACCCTTACAATCTATTCTTTTCATTTTCACAGACAGCATAACCTTGAACAAGAAGCAGGCTGTAGGACCACAGTAGAGATGATATACATTATAAAAACAATTCTGTATACAGGAAAATAAAGACAAGATTAGTTTTTACTTCTGTCTAAAACTTACCTGGCTGTACTTTAATTGCTTTACAGGACATGAAGAACCATAAAAGTTGCCACCTTTCTGAAGCTGGAGAAATGCAGAATGGGCACATAACTTTGTGAAGCACAGAAGAATCTGGATTCAGCTGATGCTGTTCCCATCCCTGCTGTAGTGCTGCCATATAATGAACAGTTCAAAGGTGTCAAAATTTGTAGTGTGATTAAAGACCAGGAGCAGTACATATAACTTGTAAAAAAGAGGAAAAACAGACAAAGCTGCTTCCTATCAACTGTCAGATGTGGTAGTTTTACAGCCCTATTTTCTGTACAGTTTTAGCTCACAAGAACACCTTAATAATTTCTTCTGGATTTGATATCAAAACCTGGGAATCATATAAACAGCCTCTCCAACTGTTTCAGAAGGAGCAAATTTCCCCGCACTGGAGGGCTGGATACACTTCAAACTGGGCACCCATCATTACAGACACTGCTATTTAAAAAATCAGACACCAAGAATTTTCAGTCTTGCTCAACACCCAACAGATTCCTTTGTTTGAATCCTTAATCCCATCATTAGGCACAAAAGTCTGATAAAATTATGTGGGTTTGGACGTTCCACCTTTTGCCTGTTTTAAATTATCTTAAATAAATCATAACTAGAGTAACTTTCTGAGAGTAACCTGACTTAGACCAGTCTGGATGTAGCATCTACTCTGCAGGTACCACTTGCACAGGCATATTCTGTGCTACTCAATTAACAATTTGTCAAATATCTTTCCCTAACAATGCATTAAATATCCAAATAAAGCACCAAAACTGTCTCACTCCTCTGAGTTCTCAATATCTGAAGTTGTGCTGGTTTATTTAGGAAGAGGAAATGCTCCTTGGAGGGCAAGGGCATGGATACAGGGGATGGCATGGCTGGATGGCACCAGCCTGCAGAGGCATGGGAGGATTAAAGTATATTTTGTTATTGCTTCACCCCTAGGCCATTCTCTTTGCTAGCAACTCTAGGAGATAACAGCTAATTGCCAATTTGGAGATGTACAGATGTTTTTCCACCTAAGGAAAGAAGGAAAGGCAGGAATAGTCAGTGGCAATGGGAAGCAGAATTTACTGTGCTGAGGTTATTGTCCGAGCCATGGCTGGAACAGAAGGGAATTCCCTTGGGCAATGTCCTGCACCCCCTGTCTCTGTCCTGTACCCCCAGGTCACCTTTTCACTCTGCCCCTCTCCAATACGTGCTACCAATTCAAGTAAGACACAACTCAGCAAATGGCTGTGATTGATCCACTGCACTGAGAGACAAGAGGTGTCAGGAGGTGGTGGTGACACCCGGGCACAACGATCTGAGCATCGATGGCTGGTGCCACGTGGGGCTCAGGACTGCAGAGCTGCCTCTTTTGTCTTTTGTTGAGATCAAAGTTCAGAAGGGAGTGATCTCTCCAGCTTTCTCCCACACACAGCACTTCGTGTGCCACAGCCTGTCACTGCTGTCACCTGCCAGGCAAAATTCATTCTCTTTCTCAAGAGCTAATCTCTTTACAGTAGCATTTACACATAAATTAATGAAAGATCAGAATATAAAGATGTTCATTTTTGATTGTTTGCCCATTTACAGGAAATTAAGTTAGAACTGTTTAGTTTTATCATCACTAGACAAAATAAGCATGACAGGATATTTTAGCCTCTGGATTATGTAGATAACACACAGAAATGTCATTTACATTTTCATTCTTTTCACAGAGCAACAAACCCATGCTTGCAACCAAATTAAAATTCGGAACTTAATTGGATTTTTATATTCTCTTTAAACAGGTAATATTGTTTTTCTTCTTTTTATTATTGTATCTGAACACTGGATTTCATTTTGAGAGTGTGCCACTGAAGGTGAGAGGCCCTCTGTGCTAAATGGTTCATTTAACACCATTAAAATCTATGTTTCTTCAACACATTTGAGGATCTAGATTGTTGAATGCCACTATTTCAGTATTGTTAAACAACAGAAAGGGTATGGAAAATTATTTTCCTGGGTGTATACATGAACATACTTCTGTGTATATATATCTCCAAACAAACATATGCACATACATCATTTATTTGCTTGCATGTGCACAAATACACTTATACAAATGTTTATATATATATGTGCATATATATATATGCATGTAAATGCAGAGAAAATGTTCCAATAATTTATCTCTGCATGCCCATGATTTGCCAACTTGACAAGCAATTCGAGGGAAAAAAAACCAACAAAACATATATTTTGTTTATTTCTGAAAACCTACTATGCTATGAAAATAATTGAAATAATTAACTTTTTCTTTGTGTTTTTTTTTTTGTTTGTTTGTTTTTTTTAAATTTCTGTTTATCATGAGCCTCACCAAGGTGGCACTGTTTGATCCTGTATTTAAACCTGATCTCTGATGGCGACCAGTAAAGTCCAGTCTCTGCAACTGCAGATTGCACAGCCCAGGTCTCCAGCTGGGGAAAAGTCTTATTAGGGCAGAATAAGAAATATCATGGAGAGAACTTCACTAAGGTATTCACATTTTCATTGAAGAAGATACTGAGAATGGGACTCTGGCAGGAAACAGCATTTTTAAGGGTGACCAGAGGGAAAAGTCACCTTGATGAAGTTACTTCCATTCCATGTTATGTGGCCACTGCTGACTCTCCGTGTCAAGCAACCCACGCTTAAGAGCTCAAGACACAGTTCTGTTTTGTGGCACTGGAATGGAAGGTTTCACTCCATACAAGTGATTTGATTTCAGGAAAACATGTGAAATTAAGAAAATGTTAGATAATAAGAAAAGCCTTTCTTGGGCAGCAGTTCTCTCTGCTCCCTGGGAGCGCTCTCAGCACAGTGGAAGGCAGGGAGGCCATTCCTGTTGTGTCCCCAGGCAACATGGTCATGCTTTATCCAAGGGTGGCAAAAGGCTTCTTGCAAATATACATATTCCCATTCATCTAACGAACACTTCGTGACCCTGAAGAATTCACTGAAGTGGAAACATGACTCGGTGCTAAACAAACAGACTCAGACTAATCCCAGCTCTTCCTTTACTCCGGTTATTTCTGGTCAGTGCATGTCAAGCATCACACCCACAGCTGAAACCCTCACCACTGCAAATCTGTGTGGGGTGAGGCAGGAGCAGGAAGGCATCACTAACTGAGGGTATAATTATAAAACTGCCAGTACCTCTGGGAAATAACTGACCACAAATGTCAGCTCATCAGCAGGGCGGGAGCATTCTTGCTGAAGTATAAAATTCTCTACATTAAAACTCTGCACTTCGCATCGTATCATTTTCAAGTGCATGGCTTAAAAACTGATCATGCCAGACATCTTCCCGTGTCTTTTGTGTTTTCCCTTCGTTGGCGATGCCACTTTCAACACCTGCCACAAGCACGTAGGTGTGTAAATTAAAAATGTACTTTGCCTCCTCTGCGTTGACCTTGCTCACAGATTATTGGCTGCACTTACATCTGAGGTAGAACCCCCACACATTCAACACAACAAATTCCTTGCGTCACTTGAAGATCTGTCCCTCATTTTATAAGTTGTGTTTATTATAGATTGCAACTTGAGTAAGGAGTTGGAAAAACTTTTCAAAAATTACCCCTTTTCACACAAACCCACACCTAAGTAATAGCGAAGTAAGCAAGGAATAAAAGTCACAGTTTGGTGTTACTTGTTCTTCAGTTGTTTTGTCTGGTTAGATCTCTGCATTCTCCGAGAGTTCAGAATCAAGCATATGAGTCTGTCAAAAAGCCTTTTTCTTTTTTTTATATAATAATTAAGTGAACATATAATGGGAAAACCTGCTCCCACTGGGATACCAAGTCCAGCTTTGTAGACATCAAAGGTTTGTCTAATTCAAATTACTTTGGCATAACTGTTAAAATTTGCTCTGCCATGCTTATTCATCTCAGCTCTGTGGCATTTTTGTCTTCTGATTAGCCCAGAGATGAACCTGCCCAGCCTCACTCCCACGTGGTTTCCAGCACAGCTCTGTGTGAGGTGGAATACAACATAAACTGCTCTTCCCAGCCTCTATGCCAGCCTCACACTCTGCTAAAACATCCAGAGAACAAGGACATGAAAGAGGCCCATAGAAACAGTCACAAAGAAAGTAATTTTTTAGTTTGAAAACATTTTCTAAGCATTTTTTCTACTCTCCCTTTTTCTGCTGTTGTTGTTTATAATTAAAAACAATTTACTGTTTTAGTAATAGTCGAAGCTCTCTAAAGCACAACTTCCTATGAAGTTAAAAAGTAGAACACAGTTGGGAAGAGAATTTTTCATTTGTGGCTCCTCTGTCTCCTGTGAGATGCTATCCAAAGACACACTTCTACCAAAAGGTTTTTTGACGTGCAGCTATTGCCTTGAGCAAATAAACCAAAGAAGGTACTGGGTTTTGGCATAAAATTCTGCCTCCTCTGTTGGATGCCAGTACTTTCCCTTCCATAAGGAAACACACATCGTAACAGAAGGATCCATTCCTCTCCTCCTAATTGTCATCCTTTAAAAAAAACCAAAAAAACACAGTGCAGAAAGCCCTTGCTTTTTCTATCAATCTCGTAAGAGTATTGCTGCCTTCCAAATGGACAATAAATTCATATTTACCACATGCTTACCTTCAGCTCCTGCTTGGGAGAGCAATCCTGGCACTCCTGCTGCAGCTCCCACCAGCCATGTACCACACATCTGAGGAAGATGGGGAGGACACTGAGATCCCCAGGGGCAGGTCTGTTGGAAATCCCCAGTGACCACAGTGCTGATCTGTGTCATGACTAAAAATCCCAATACCAGTGATGGGAAGAATTCAAAGGTCTGTTTAAATTAAACAGAAATTACAGACGTACTTCTCTCGCATTTATAGCTTTCCCTAAGTTTTTTGTTGTTTTTTTCTTTTTTAAATAAAGACTTTCTGAGTATACCCAGTATCTGTTTTTCTGGCAGTGGTGTAGGCAGCTGAAATCAGCTCTTTTTATTCTCTGAAGTGACTGGAGTGAGCTGCAGAATGCTCAGCATCACCAAACCCCATAATTCTATTAGAGCAAGGGATACCCATCAGCTTCTGACTATTCACTTTGGCTAATTGTATTAATAAGACTAAGTGAAATTCAAATACTTTCTGAAATGAAGAGACATTTATCAACAACCCTCTGTAGGGATGGAGGATGGTATTATTTCTGTTTTCCAGCTGACAGGGAGGGTTGGCAAGGGACTTACACAAAGTCACACCAAAGTCTGTGGTTCTGGGGAGCCCCTTCCTGCCTTGCAGGGCTGGGGCAGCTCTAACCCCAGAGCACAAGGTAAAGGTGGGCTCTGCAAGGAGCCAGTGGTGGGGTCAATCCTGCTCGGAGCTGTTACTGCTCACTAAATTTGACTCCTAAAAGGATTCATGGAGATGCAGAGTTGTGCAGAAGGCAGCTTGTCAACAGCACCAGCAGAGAGAAGAATTCACTGTGAAACTGCAGAGCTAAAACACTTCAAAATGTCAAGGCAGGATGACAACCCACAGGCAGAGTTATCTCTGCGGAGTTAGGACGTTTCATGGAGAATGAATCCCACACAAGTCATCCTGGTGGTTCGACTGTAAACACACTCCTGGCTGACACGGCCCAGGCATGGCAGGGGCTGATTTTACACTGCAGGACCTGGGGCAATGCAGGTGTGAGTGGGTGAGTAGCCAGGACATTATTCCTGTGTTGTAATTCCGGACTCTCCGTGGCTCTCACAGCGGGTGTCTCAATCTCTTCATGCAACTGCTCTGGAATGAATTTCTGGAAAGCTCAGATACACGCTTTTAAAAGAAATCAGATTTCTGAAGTGGGATCAGCAATACTTGGGGAGTGAAAAAAAATGCTTTTCCCTCTTTATTTTAGAAAATTTTAGGTTGTTGAAATAGTTTTCTTCTCAAGCGTTTAGTATTGATGCTAAGGGGAAAAGCAACAGCAGGAAAATGGTGCCAAGAAATACCATCTTTCAAATCACAGGTCATAATCACTCGGAAAGAGGAAGCTGGTGCTGTCTTCTTCACTGAAAGGAGAATGGAGGAAAAAAGTTCCTTACTTTCTTCCACTAGCTATAAACTAATTTTATTTCATTTAATTATACTTTAGTCATTAAAAGAGATGTCAATGGAGCAACCATAAATTTAACTCCTCAAGACAGACAGTTAAGGAAGGGTTAAAATCACAGAAGTTTTTTGCATACAAATGTATTAAAGGACTTCATCAGCTGTGTGACTTTATAGTTTTAAGGTTACTGTGGCAAGAAGTTTATGGCCTTCATATTACCCCTAGACAAGTCCAGTAGAGGCAAACACAGCTAAATATTCTAGAGTTCCCCAAGTACATGCATTTTGCATCCTTCTTTTCTCCCACCCCACATCCCCCCAAACCAGAAAATTCCATGTACTACCTGTAACAATCTCAACACCTTTGGCGCTAAACCCCAGGCACCTCAGAAATATGCTGCAGGAGACATCAATGTTCCCAGCATTTATAGAAATGTGGCCAGCTACGTTAATGAGTCATTAAAATCTGCCACCTATCCGTTCCTGTTGCAGGGAGCTGTCAGAGGCACGACGGGCTGTGACTTTGCTCCTGCCTGCAGAGATCAGTGCGATGCCGCAAGTCTGAACCCGCTCTAAAACTTTCTGTCTGCTGAATAGATTAATTTGTAGCAGGATCTAAAAGTCATGGATTTTCCATACTTTATCTCCAGTCTAAAATATAAGCTCAATATCTCTAATGCTTCAGAGGCAGGAAAAGAGTGGAACGTGCCCTTTGACGGGTTTGAGTCTATTCTTCTCGCCGATCGCCGTTTGTTGTTTCGCCACCTCACCGACCCCCCCCAGCATCTCAGCAGCATCCCTGGCAGCATGCTAGAGGCAGATAATCCTAATTAGAGTTATCAAGTCCATCTTGATTTTGACATGAAGCTGCACACTGCTGTGCAGGCTGGGGACGGTACATCATCCCCCTTCTCCACCCCCCCAGATGTAGCACAGCTACTAATGCTCAGCTCCCATCGAGTTTTAAAGGAAAAGAGAAGGTCACCAGCCGCTTGCAGCAAATCTCCTGCTGATTCTGTGCCAAAACAAAACTGCTTTTCCCCAGAAGAAGCCCAGCTCTCTGGTAGATTTGCCAGCTTATACCTCTTCTCTTAAACTGTATCTCAATAAAGTGGTCACGTATCCACAGTGTTTAGGAGCTGAGTTCAATTTCTGTTGGACCAACTCTAAAAGCCTTGTCGGGAAGCAGTGAGTGAGCTCAAAATTAAGCTATAAAACACACTATATCCATGTATTAGAATACAGGAATTGACAGGTAACAATAAATACACTCACAAGTTTATCACAATAAATATGACCTAAAGGGGTCATATTTAAAAAAAAAGAATTTTTTTTCTATTCTCTGGACTTCTGAGACATAGCCTTTCTTTGAAAATGCTGATTTAGGATTCATTAAGAAATGAGAGCCAACAATACCAAAATTTCTCCTCTTTCTTCTTGGAAACCCAATCACAAGTACAGCTGATTTTAAAGCACAAGAGATTTTGATTTTTCCAGTAATTCTCCTATCTGGTTTTGCTGCTTTAATTAGCTATCAGCAGCACTTAATTTATTTCTAGTGCATTGTTGCCACCTTTTTGCATATCTTTCCCAACCTGTGAAAAATCATGAAAATAGACCTACAAAAATTAATCTCCCTGTTCCCTGTGCAGAGATATTAAAATGGTAATTGCATTCTTTATACCTCTAAAACCTGATTTTACTTCCAGATACTTATCTGAAAGCCCAATGAAATTGTGTGATAGCAGTTGTTGATGCTACTTACGCTTTACTGGAAGTTATTGAGATCTGATAATAATCACTGTATTGTAAAAGTTTCACACAGCAAGGCCAAAGTTCGTTCCTGCCTTTGATTTCTATACTGAAGGGTGATTGTCTGGACAAATAAACTCCATTTATTAATTTTTAGTATCATATTACCTTTATTTATTCTAGCACAGAAAGAAATCTTGCCATTTCAAAGGTCCTATACTCAGCTGACAACAGAGCAATTTCTTGAAAACCCAGAACTCAAACACAGAGTCCTTCCCCATGAGCAGGTAGGTCCTGTGGTCAGATCCCATTTTACTCCATTTTTTCCATAGACCCAAGCACAGAAAGGCTGAGCAAGAATTATCAACAGCTTATCTGGAAGCACCTTCCTTATTTGTGATCCTCAGGAAACACAAGTGGTCTGATTATTCATTACAAAACCACAACCTATGCTGAAATGGTGAAGCAGAGGTTTTGATTTCAAAAAAGGGAGAGAACGGAGATCTGTTGGAAATACAGTATTTTTTTACTCTAGAAAATGGTATCAAAGATAGAAGGAAGTGAACATGTTACACTGCTAAAAACTCATCTAATATTTGGGTTTATTTCAGTGTTGTTTGGCAAATTCTCATGATAGGCAGCTTCAAATGCCCTAAAGTAATTGCGAAAAGAAACCCCATTAAGAGACCCTGATGAGGGAAACTATTAAAATTGAGTATACAGTTTGCTCTGATGAATCTCCCTACTTCATTTTTGCAGTAAATTATATAGTTCCACGTTGTTTTTTTCCTTTCACCAGAAACGTGAATTATAGTCCTATAAATTCACCCTTGCTGTCAATTAAATTGAATAAACATTGTGTGAGTGAATTAAGAAGAGATACAAAACAATTCAATACCAGGGTTAGTTATTGAGGAGGCTTTTTAATGAACATAAATTGATGTAATTAAAATAAATTTGCTTTTCACGTTTCTCAAGTAGAATGCCCTGTAGCCATTCCTGTAGAATACTGGAGCAGAACAAACACTGGGCCAAAGCACCTATCTTTCCTCAGATTAAATGTGAGTTTCCTGCTCTCTGGGATTTCAGAGATGAGTAAGGCTGAAGGATGTGGCCTACTTAAACAGTTGTTAAAGGAGTGTAATAGAGAAGACAGAATTCAGATCTTTGTTAAATTCAGTTTTTCTCCTTAGCACCACCTCCTTTTTATAGAAGGAAATAAGTAAATAAAAAAGCCATTTAACATTACTTTTTATAGGCTGTTGGCAACTAGTTGGTCATTTCTATGAATTCTGGTTTTTGCAAGCTGTAATACGGTCATATGTCAGGACCACATTTAAAATCAACATGTAAGGTGAGAAAAGCATTTTTGCTCTTACAAGATCTCCCTCTCTCTCCTTCTTCCCAAAAATAATAGGAATAGAATGTCAACATGTTTGACTGCTTAAGGCTGGGACGTACAGGTCTCCTCTGGTCCAGCAGATACCAGGTAGGCCTAAGATGCAGAGCAGAGAAAAGCAGAAAGCTAGAAGAGCACAGTTGGAATATATTAGATAATTTTAAACAGAATAGCAAAAAAACTATAAAATTCTCTGACATTTGAGTCCTACTGTGATGACAATCCCTAATGTGAAGGTGTGTGCCTGCCCAGAGCTCCTATCTGAAACTGTTCTGAGCTCCCCCCACAAGGACAGTGTCACTAGCATACGGGTCCTACTGCCAAAATAGAGGTTATTGGTCACTTCTGATTATACAGTCCAGTTCTCAAGTTTGCTCCACAAAGAACATTCTACTTTTGAGCTCAGAAAAAAAAATCCCACCTCTAACAGCACTCCATTCTTCCCCCCACCTTCACTTGGGCTCATCCAGGTTTCCAAGCTGAAGGTCCATTGCCTCTGTTAGATGTATTCTCCAAATCAGCTTCCATTTCAGGAGTTGTCCTTCACATGGCAAAATTATTCTGGGTGGAAAACAGAAAAAGGATATTTTTTGTGTGCAACAACAACATTGACAATTAGTGCCTTTGGCATCCCCTCTACAGAGAGAGGAATTTCACTCCATGGATAAATAAAGAGCTTAGGTCTCCAGGGCTGTCAGCCTTTAACAAACAATAAATGCATGCACCAGTGTAGAAGGGAATATAAATCAGAACAGCAACTTGAAGGGTCTTTCTTAATAACACAATGTGTGTTTATCTCCAAGAAAAGAAGGCCCAGCAGCTAGGAAACACCACGAAATTCCCACACAACATGGCATTGTCTACGGCTCTTAGAAAGGTAAAACATGCCTGAATAGATGTCCGTGTTCTTAACACTAGAGACCTGCATGCTTAGAGAAAGGAAATCACAGCACACTGTTTCTCCCGAGGCACCACAAACTATTGTTCCTTATAATGGCAAGCATAAGATTTAAAAACATTTCCACTGCCTCAATGAGTTGGTTTGCAAACTGGCAGCATACCAACCACTGGTTTAGGCTGTGTGGCACAATATGTACAGTCCTTAAATCTCAATGCACATGTCTCTACACCCTTAAAAGATGGTGGTTTTGATAAAGGCATATAGCTGGAAAGCATGATTCCATGATTTACAGAATGCTTTTAAGGTGAGGCAGTTCTGCTCTTTTCAGTGCATAATTTTTTCCCTTTTTTCCCCCCTTTCTGTCCTCTGATTTTTCAAGGTTATTATCTCAATTCTTTTTCCTTGGTACCAATTCCTCTGAACTTGAGTTCACAATGACTCACAGCAGGGAGGCACAGAGAGAGCTACCACCAGAAACCTCCTCCCTGGAGGAGCTTCACAATGCTGCCTATTATTTAGCAACTTGAAATGCTGACTTTAATGGCACACATCTCTTAAACATCCCTTTCTTTCATTTGTTCACCCCAGGGATGAAGCCACAGAGATGTATCTCCACTCTCTCTATCCCACTCTTCCCACTGGCAAGGTGCATGAAAGTGGGGGGGCTGCCAATCTCCAGACTGCAGCTGTGACTCCCAACACTGGTGTTTGGTGAGCTGAACTGGTGGGCTCCAAAGCTCAGTTCAGCCATGTACTCACCCACCCACTTTCATTTTCAGTGAAAGCCCTGAAAATAGTTAGAGAAAACCAGCCCATCTTAGGGGAGTATTAAATTTGGGGATGGTCACACTGATCCCTCTACCTCCACAATCAGAGGTGTAATGCACTGGAGAAGACACTCCAGAGGCTTTGGCTGTGCTGCAATGTGGGTTAAAAACCTCTCTGCTGATGCTTGGTAGGAGACCTCCTTAGTAGAAATATACCCTTCTTAGCAGAAGATCTCTCTTATTGCAGTTTAAAGTCAGCCATTTGTCCTTGCACTCCCACACAGTATTTACTCAGCAGAAGAGGACAGATACTAGGGATATACAACTATAAAGTTCTGGAAGGAAAACAACTCCCCCGGGCTCATTAGTTGTGACAAAAGAACAGACCATTCTGCCTCCATGTAGGCTGAGCCTGGCAAGTTGAAGACAGAGCAGGCTGACAACAGGATATAGGGCCATTACCTGGTACTTGGAGGTCCTCAAACTAACCTACCAGTCATTTAAATCTATCTGGTTTTCCTTCTAAATTTCTCTCTCCCAAAAACCACGGCAGGTGAAATCCAATACCATGCACTGACTCACAAATAGTTATTCATTTCAAGAAATCTTTCACCTGAGTCGTTTGTTAGAAGCTTCTAAGGAAAACACTGGGTAATAGAAAGTGTAGGTGAAATGACAAGTTGAACTGATTGCACACAATAAACAAAGCACCTGGGGCTTCAGTGTGCCACAGTTTTGTTTGGATGAACAGGATAATGATGTAAGCCTAGCAGTGGTTCAAGATTACAGGCTACTTCTCAGTTGTTCTATTAAATTCACCATGTGATGCTGAGCCTTAACTCTCAACTTTTTTTTTTTCACTTGGCACATTTGCTTCTGTATCATTCATTTGCAAGAGAAGGACCTCAGAAGAAGGCCTGTCTTCTTCCATAGATTTCTCTTGCCTCTATTCTGGCCCTAGCATCATAATCCCTCGATGGCATATCTAGTAATTCTCTTAATATGTGTACAACTATATTTAATAGTAGTTATAAGAATTGATATAATTATGTATTTTACAATCTCATGGCCCATATAGCACTTTGTTGCAGTTCAGACATTAGTCACATTAAGTCCAAGATCATAATAGTAACATTCAACCCCTGCCATGACTACACACAGGGTGCTGCTTGACTGCTTGCAGCAAAAATTGTTGTTTAAAAGGTACTGTAGAGATGGCAGCACTGCACTATTAAAAACATATTAAATTAATTGAATTCAAACAACCAGCCACATGAACAGAAAGGATAAATTATGTCTCTCACAGGTCAGTATGTAACTGCCTTTATAATTAACATTCAAAGACAAATGCTCCTCATAAAGTGCAGCACACACACGCAGCTGGGTCAGGTTCTTCTCTTGCTTTCTCTGTAGATGGGATTAGACAAGCTGAAGTGTAGAAAACGGGAAGTTTTCCTCACTACCCACCCCTAGGAATCTGTGAATAGCACAGATTAGTTTTTCACCACTTTCCAGCCTGGATTTCTCCCCGTAGGGATAAACACCTGCAGAATGTGTCAGCTGGACACGTGTCTTTCCAGACTGACAGAGGGACATGAGCTACATGCAGGCTGGAACAGACTTCCCTTCCCTCCCTTCCACCATGCCACACACCAATCATGTTCATGTGGGTCCATGAACACCACACATCCAGGAGCTCTGAGACAAGTGAGGTCTCAGGACATACGAATGAAACCCAGTAAGGGTCCAGCAGTTTAGCAAAATTCCAAGTCAAAACACAGTCATGTTGAAAAACCTATCAAAAAAACCCCATGCAACTTCCTGGTGGAGAAGGTCAAGGTCTTATTGTGGAACTTTCCACTTCATGCCACAGAGAAGTACAGATTATCTTTTCCTTCAGTATGAAATCTGCCTTTTTGATTTGATCACGCAACAGCACAAAGTGAAGCTTTATGCAAAACAACAGAAACTTCAAGCTTGGCTGCATCACAGAGAAGAGCAACACGTGCCCTGGCACAGCACTGCCAGCAGTCTATTGGCAACAGGCAGCTGGATTAGGAATAAGTCAAATTAACAGAGGGTGGAGAAAGAATATACTCCCTTCCCCAAGGACACATGTTTGAAAGGCTTCAGAGTGAAGGGGATGAGCGCAGCCACAAGCTGCTAAACTGTGCCCTGTTCTGGGCCAGCTGCAGTGATATCCCCCATCCCCAGCCACCAGCTCTCTTGGGCACTGATCCAGTATCCTGTTCTGCTGCTGTGCAGGAAGGGAAGGTTCGTTAGGCATTTCTGTCTCCCCCTCATCAGACTCTTCTTGAAGCTGCACTACGGCCCTGAGCTGGCCTGACACTGCTCACGTCTCCTCTGCTCAGCATAATCCCTCAGCTAATTTCTGCATGGGAGAGGCACCTCTTCCCATGCATGAGGCACTGCTTGGAACATGAATATTTCATAAATGAATACAGACTTTTCAAAAATTATTAACACATTTCTGCAATCCATGTTCAAGGATTGCTGTAAAATAAGGCAGGGCTGTGCTTTCAGGGTCTTGCTTTCCACTCTCAGACTGATCCTGACAGTATTTAAAACATGCAGCTACAGCCTTATTATGCAGTATTAATACAACAGATCTCAAGGATATTTATTGACTGCTACTGCTAAGAAGCATTTTGAAATGGTTCCTTGACTCCCATTAGATCCTACACTAAGGTAACATTACCAGGGAGTTTATTTGTATTTCAGAGAAGAACACACTGACCATGTTCATTCTTTCCAATATTTCTTCCAGACACAAGGCATTATTTACCCATGCTTGCATGCAAATATCTCATCTAATTCATTTTGTTCTTTTAAAATGCTGGTTAAATAAAGCTTTTCAAGGAAATAGAGTCTGTTTCAATTTATCTTAGTTGAAACTAGGACTATAAATCTCTTTAGTTTCCTTTATTGATCTTAGACAAAATTACAAATATAAATTACAGCTGCTGCAAATTAAATGTCTAATGACTGTGTTTGAAAGCAAATGCAACAGTGTCAATAACACATTAGATAAGACACAGTGAGAATAACATAAAGCTACCATTGCCTGGTGAAAGCAAAAGGATTCCTGTGAAAACTCACATTTAGGGGGTCCCTTCTTCAACAACTAGATTCCCCTCATATCTCTCCCCTCATATTTTTTAATTTATAAAATTAGCTACACCAGATCTACAGGAGTTGCAGATGTTTTAATGCACCCATCAAGAGAAATCAACTTTTCAATTATTTTGATAGACACCATCATTTCAGAGCCTAACAGCCACAAAGAGGGTTGTTCTTGGAAGTCTTTCTTATAGAAAAATGGCAGGCTATGGCTAAAACTGTATTGAGAACCATAAAGGCTGTACACTGGATCAAGAGAAGAATCCAGTACTAGCATGCGATGCTGAATCACTGTATTCAAAGCAGCAGTATATGTTCTATAGAGGTCATGCTGAAATATATAGATATATCTCCAGATTAACTGTCCCACCAGTTCTTCTCACCTTTTATCTCACTAAAAACACTGGTCACAGGGTCATGCTTTACAAGGGCAAATATCAAGTGATGCTGTTTCAGGTGCGATACATTTCTTATGAAGGAGCCTCTATTTCACAAAGCAGCATAATCATCAGTTTTCTACACTGCTGACACTTAGACCCTTAAGCACAAAGGTATCTGTTTACCAGGTCATGAAATTGCAAGTATAATATCAGTGACTGTGCCGTGCTTGATAAAACTGTAAAACATTTCATTTTGCTGCCTATTGAGCTTTAAAAAATCCCAGCACTGGAGAGGAGACAACATTCTTGTTACCATCAAAGTATTTCAAAATACCTACTTTTCTGCCTGTGATCTGTGGACACGCATTTTTCCTCTACTCCAGTTCTGCCACTCCTTTCTGGTACAGGCAGCGCTGCAAATATCCAAGAAAACTGATTCTTCTTATGCTCTCTTAAGTTTTATATGATCACAAAGCCTCTCTCAATAAGTGTGACTCCATGTAGTCAAGGTATTAACATTCCTACAAATTTTATGAAATAGGCACCTTGGTAACTACACAAATGAGCTCTCCATTTATCCAGAGATAAATGCAGGACACGGGCACTGGAAATCCTGTTGCCTTTGTGGCTCACAGAACTAATTGCTTCTAAGCAGAATTCAGCTGGTTTGATAGACACCATTGATTCTGGGCATCACAGCCATTAAAAGTGCTGCTTGTGAAAGTCCTGCTTGTAAATATTCCATAAATGACAGCTTGGGCTGAACTGTATTGACTGGGAAACCAGAAAAGCTTTGCACACTGGACCAAGCAGGAATCCAATACTGACATGAGGTGCTGATCAGAAGGGTAGATCTAACAGAGCCTCCCAGCCTGTGAGCTGTCCCATAGATGGAACTTGTCCTCCTGTGCTTACAATGGGCAGTAAACCTTGATTTTGTCTTCCCTCATCATGTAACAAAACAAGTAAACAGCTGGAGCAGTTCTAGCACCTCTGTGTTTTTGGAGGAAGAAGTTAGGTATTCTTTTCTTAAAATAAAAGCATTCAGAGAAGCTCCCCAAATCTTTGCAGTGATTCAAATACCATTTGTTGTTTTAATGGTGAAATTAGTGGGCATCCCAGTCATATTCTAAACCTCTTGTCAATAAGGCTGGTAGACACGCAGCTCTGAGGGGGGAGCACAGGGACTCCTCTGGAGGGGATGGATGGCCTCTGATCTAGGGATAGCATTGTAAACTAGCCTCTGACACACCTTTTCATCCTTCACTGAATATCAGTTGGTAGAATTTCATTCATGATTTACTTTGACCTTTAGCTGTGTTAGTTACCAAAACTTGACATGTCATAAAGAAAAACTGAAGGAAACATCAGCCAGAACGTTAAACATCTGCACAGGAAAGCTCAGTGAGCTGAAAACGTGATCACCTTACTGGCAACTGAGAAAGACCTCTCTATTTAAGCTTCAAGTTGCCCAAAGCAGCATCTGCTTCTTTCTCAACACTGCTGTTTTATATTGATTCCTTCTTAAAATCCCCAGATCTCATATTCAGCTCTTTTGGGCAATAGTGCTGCACATACCTGGCTTTGGGAAGACTTTTCTCCTCACCATTAACACGAGTCAGCCCAAGCTACTCTGCCTGTATGCATTCATGCATGTACAAATTTCAGTGAATGTCTTCACAGGAATATTCTGCAAAAATCGTTTGCTGGATGCAAAAGTTCAGCTGAGAGAATTATCTACATCCAACGGTAAATGCTGTAATCTCAGTGTTAAATGGCAAAGAGGCAATTACAAAGATCAGGTTAAACAACTTTCACAATACCTACAAGCTATAAGGTTTGAAATGTTTGCTCTTAGAACTGTAACTCAGTAGCACAGGGTCTGGGTAATAGTGAACCAGAGTGGAAGGAACTGATTCCTTACCTGTGATCCCTGGCCCCTCTTCTCCAGTTATTTGCAGAAGGGAAAAGCACAGCCTTTTTATTCAAAATTCTTATGGAGATTTGCAGGCAAAAGAAACAAGAAAATCTCTTTGATTACATTTAAATATTTCAGAGAGGTGACCAGACATTGGAAGTTTAATTACCTTAAGCCATGAGAGGGCAGAAAATGAGAGCAGTGACAAAGAAAAAGAAAAGAAGAAAAATGAACTTTTTTCCAGGATAACAGAATGTTACTATTTATGAACCTGCAAGAGAATTAGACCTGAAATAATTAGATAGAAAGAGAGATTTTAATTAATGATGGTAATTCTTATGAAAGGAACCAGATTGCCGGCCCCGGAAACTGCCAGTACATTTTATCCACGATGTCCATACAATCTCAATGAGACTATTTCAAAGATCCCCAGCACAGTACATTGTCCTGAGCTGAGAATTTCAGTGTCTGATTGCTCACACATCTTGACTTTTGCTGCAGTTGAGCTTTGCAACTGGAGTAGTTGTTCACTAAATCAATTCCATGGTACAAGCAAATCCTTTGACATGGACCAATTGATCTCTAATGGCTTGAATGAGCTTAGAACAGCGACCAAGAATCACAAAACCTGCTGAAATAAATGTGGAGGCCCACAGGTTCAAATGACCATTGCACCAGAGAACCTGAGGAAGTCACAGCAAATGGATCACCAGTTTCCTCCAATAACTAATCCCTAAAAAAGCAAAAAAAAAAAAAAAAAACAAAAACAAAAACTCAAACAACAACAACAAAATAAAAATAAAAAAGGAATCTTCCACTCACATCATGTCATTTTGGTTAACTTCTGATCATTCTGTTTAGATGCATCAGTCCCTTCATCCCAGTTCTTACGAGTGCCATAGATGTGGTGGACATGAGGCATCACATTTTGCAAAGAGCAGCAGCTGTGGAATTTGTTTCCAAGTTGGAAGGTGAAGGGGAAGATTGGTTTTTTTAGTAGTTGTTAATAAAATCCTGGAGTGATGAAATATCAGCAGAAGCCTTTCACCATCTCCCTTTGCATCCTGTTCTCCATGCTTTTGCAGCTGGATGGAGAATTCCACCTCCCAGAAGTGCTGAGCAGACTAAAAGATTCGGGGTACAAGTCCTCTGGTAGCAGGAAAACTAGCCTGGCTTGTCCCTGAAAATGTGATTTCTAATCCCCATTGGCTAACCAACACAGCTGGCTTAAGCCAAACACCTCACTGCAGTTCTCATAACATCCCATGGCAAAGAAAGCAATGATTCTTGCTACTTGAGCCCAGTATGAAACAGATTAAGTCACATGTATCAAATTCACTTTAACATGAGTATTTCTATTACCTGGGTCACAGAGTCTGTGCAGACACTCTCCAAAACCTGCTGTTATTAATTCAGCAATTATAGCTTTATGGTGGCAGGAAATCCTCGGTGTTTGAGCTGGGACTGGAAAGCTGTAATTCTGAATGGGACATGACATGAATTACTGGATTGCTGTAATTTTTCAGCTTTTCATGCATTTTCACTGCATATATTAAAAATACAGCAAGTAATTCACTTTTAATTATGCAAATTCAAAGACAGTAAGACAAGAGATGGATGAGTTTTTAAATGCCTGCTCTGCCTGGCCACCTGGGGTTAGCACAGAAAATCCACAGCTAATCAGGCAACCCGGCCCACCACGCTCCTGCTTGCCTGGATGTACAAAAAAATTACCTCTTTTTTAGCGTTCTGCACCATTACAAGAGCATAGAGTAGAGGAAAGAAATTGCCAAACAGAGGGAAAGCTGGGTAAAGGCAAACTTTCTCAACCTGCCTTCCCCACTTCTTTAGGTGTTCAAGAAAAGCCCATACACAGCTGTCCTCACACCTGACATCCACATAAGATCTCAGAGGCTTTCTGGTATCAATATACTTTCTAATTTGGTTTGGTCTTAGGGCTTGATTTTACTGGGACAGCATCCTCAGCCACTATTTATCAATGAAAGGAAAGAATTGCCCAATACAGATATTACAAATAACTTTTAACTAGAATATTCAAATCAGGACCAGGGCATGCACCAGCTTCCACGTCCTGCAGCTCTACCCTTAGCTCTATTCCTTAGCAAAATCTATGGCTGCAACCAGCTTTTACATGCACATGTCCATTTTAAAGGAGAAGTAAGGTACACAGGTTCTCAAAGACATTGTTGTTAAATTGTGAGATAGCAAGAGCAAGTAATGATGGCTTGTTAAAAGTCTGGTAGCTGTATCTAATAGCTGCGGTGTTCAGTGTGGTAATTACAGAGGCGAGAGACTGCTGAACACGTGTAAAAAAGGAAATAATTGGAGTAGCAGTAATGCAAAAGCTTCTCCAAGCCTAGAGCAATTGTTATTTTGTCCTCCTACTGATGTGCTACTTATCAAGGATACAGTGGTTAGAAACTAGCTCTCTTTAATGAATGCTAAGTTCAGGTGTTTTCTATCCTGAAACCCCAAGGCTTCATATCCTGTACATCCACAGTTTAGATCACAGAGGTAAAATTACTCAAGCACCTTATTGCCCTGCCCTGAAAGATCTCCCTTTTTCCCTGGAAGCCTGGGAGAACTTTCAAGCCAGCACATTAGCAATGCAAATCTCCAGCAACCTACCAAAAAGAGGGTGCTAAAGAAGATGCTCACACGACACTGCTGTGCTGAGTTCTCCACATTAATATTTACAAACCAGGTGGAAACTTTCCATTTTCTCTAATCCCTTCATCCTCTTTTCCCCACCCAGAGATGTCACACCACTGGTTTCAGTCTTGCCTCTTTAAAGGTGATTTCTTGCAGCTTTCTCAGCAGCTATTCCATGTGCTAAAGTCTTTCAGTGCTTGCCTGGGTGCCTATTGCATAGAGTTTCAAAAGCAGAAATTTTCCTGAAGGGGAGTGGGTGGTTCAAATGGTTTTTTCTGTCACGTCCTTGGCATTGCTATTACGGATCTCACTCAGATATGGTATCTGCCCTGCAACCCTGGAAATCAGCCTTATTCTCAAGCGTTTTGAAACTCATAGTTCCATTTTGGCAGTCCTGCTGATCACAGCCTTTATAAATCTAGCCAGAATAGACCATTACCTTCACCTGATAGCTTCTGTAGAAACCTTAGTCGTGTATTAGTCATTTGTGGTCTCGATCACTTCTACTTCTTTTAAAATTCTGTTCAATTCCTGCTCTTCACAGAGTGAAGCACAGAATTAGCTCACTTACCTGTTTATCTGCTTTACTTTTACAAAGATGTGTTTTGTTGGGCAGGGGAAAGTCACCATTTCAGTCACTCACCAACATGTATCACCAGTCTGTTCCCTAATTCCATCACAAGCCATGGAGTGACTTCTCTCTCAGTCTCATATTGGAATATTTTTGGCTAATCTGTCACAACATCTGAACATGCTGTGTCTCTATGAACTCACCACCAAAGGAGCCTCAGTCCACAGAGCCGAAGAACTGAAACACCGTCTTCCTGCTATAGTAGGAAAAATAGCTCTTATTTGCTGTGAACAGAAAAGCTTGAACTTTACTTGCCAGTCTCACCAAAGGAAAAGCTGATTCTTATTTATAATCAGAAGGAAATGAAGACCACAAACCAAGATGTTGACAGTGTGA